AGTATGTATGTATGTATGTATGTATGTAAGTTCGGCTCATGTTAAATTCGACGTTTGACCTGAGCATCTGCTAATGCAATACAGTAAACTTGGGTGACCAATGGAAGTGTTTTGTTATTGCAGCTCACATCACCATATGATAAAGCAGTTTCACAGTGTATCAAAGAAAATAGTATTCCGTGGGATGAATCATGGGATCTGGAATTATCAAAATACAAAGAGTTACTAATCAATCCCTATGATGAAGTCTTTGCTGCTTACTTTGAAGCCCTGAAGAAATACTCTCACTTTGGGTAAGAAAATATAGATTGAAAATATAGAATTAAAACATTAGAAATTACATAAATTGTGAGGGATGGAAAAGAGAGAGAAAAAGAATGGGAGGTAGAGACGTGGAAAGATGGGAAGTTGTTTATAAATAACTAAAGCTTTTGGGAGAGTGCAGACTTGCTTGAGTACAATTCACGACACTCTTGTTGTATCCTAGGAATCTTAATGAACAAACCAAGATCACATTTACCTTCACACCAATGCATGGCGTTGGACAGATTTTTGCTGTTAAAGCATTTGAAGTCTTTAAACTACCTCCTTTTGTCTCAGTAATAGAACAAGTAGGTACATTACCAAGATAAGAAAGGCACTGCGCGCGCATTCAAGCGAGCGGTATCTGACGGGCTCAAGCTTACTCATATTACGTACAGCGGTAAATAATATAACAATGAAAGATAAGTGCCCCTTGTGGTTAATCTAGAACAATTCACGGGAAGCAAGGGTAGTGTAGCACTAATCTCGTATCCAGAGCCTGCGTTTCTTCTGGCCTGCGGTGACGAACGAGGGCTCTGGCATAATCCATTTTGAGACCAGGATTTCTTGGACTTCCTGTATAACAGCGCACGCGTCCAAAGACTTACCAAAAATTAAAAATTTTTCCCCCGATTTTTAATTTGTACTATGATTTTTACTTCGATTTTTACTTCGATTTAATTTTTACTTTGTTTATTTTGATCGGATTATATCTCACTTTCCGAAAATTGCGCATGCGCCAAAAATGGATTATGCCAGAGCCCTCGTTCTTCGCCGCAGGCCAGAAGAAACCCAGGCTCTGGGTACGAGATTGGTGTAGCAGGGGAGCGCTCGCGACTTCTGATAATTCAATTGATATTCTTGTTCTAATTTGTGTAATACTCTGTTTCCCATCGTGCTTCGTGATAAAGATTCGTGCTCCTGCACATTGGCTATTGCAATTCAGAATTGGAAATGCCACTGTTAAATCCCATTTCTTTCTTTCCTTTCTTTTCTTTTCCGATTTCGAAAATAACTGGAGGTTCGTCGTCCTCATCCGCAAGTTTATATCCGCACTTAAGCTAGAAGATGTTAAACTAAATGAATTCAATGTTAACATTGCCCAAGCTCATTCCTTCCCATTCTTTTAGTTCTAATCCTTGATTTGGTGTGGCATGTTGCAGATGAATCCAGACCCAGACTTTCCTACGGTTAAATACCCAAATCCAGAAGAAGGCAAAAGTGCTCTGGTAAGAACTCTAATTTGAGTTACGTATCATAGTCTTCCATGGCCATTGCTTGCACGCATCATTTCTACGCATACGATTTTGTTTGATTGTTGTTGTTGACATCATTCACAAAACACTTTCAGTTTTGTTATTGACCATGAATATATCTGATGTTGCCCATTCACAATGGTTACTGGGAAACAGTGAAATTGGATGATTGATCATGTGGTACGCTCTTGCCAAACTGATAAGATGAGAAAAGAGAAAAAATTAACTTCGACACTCGGTATATAGCGATCGTAGTTATTAACTGAGTAATATTAATATTTCCAATGAAATAACTTGGAACAGTATTAGAAAAAAAGGATTTTTCGCAGTTTCATTTGTGTTGTTGCTATTGTGTCATCCTGCACGACCATGATTCTTTACGATTACGTCATTAAGTGTTACAGAGCAATTTTCTTTAACATGCTCACAAGTTTTAAATGTGGATATATATGTAGAAATAAATATAAGGGTCACCAACTTTGTTTCAGAGCTTTGACAGTCTGAAGAAGTGAAAAAGTTGTTTTATATTTTGTCTATCTAAACATTGAAATAATGCATGTGAGCAATGCCCATGAATGTCATCTAGGGTTTGATAAAATCGATGCTTGCATGGTTTGGTTTAGAAAACCATCAATACTTGAAAGATGATGTTTTCATATAGAAAAGCAATAATAAAAATTAGAGTGTAATAGTACTAAATAAGCTAAAGTGTATTTCACTGGTTTATGAAAATCACAACTATCAATTCAGTTGCAGGGTAAAATTAGTCCAAAAATTCTTATCGTTCTTCAATCACTACACTCCCCTCACAAAGAGTAACGTCATAGTGATATATTGGCTGTAGCAACGTAAATCCTACTCTCCCGCTATGACTGCCTAAGAATTTGGTGTAAGGTTTGCAATTCGTTCTGATATTGTATTATGGCATACAGGACTTGGCGATGAAAGCTGCTGATGCAAATGGCAGTACAGTTATCATAGCAAATGACCCGGACTCTGACAGAACAGCAATTGCAGAAAAACAGTCCAAGTGAGAACTTAGCTAATTATATTACTACCATTATGTTTGAAGTGCGACCCACAGAGTTTAATAATACTTTATTCAAAAATGTAGATTACATATTTTGAAAAGGAAGACATTGAGGTTAGCCCTATATAAGTCCCCTAATTTAAAATAAATAAATAATTTAAAGAACTAATAATATATATATATATATATGTACAATACTAACTTCAAAAAATGTTCATGTGTTTCTTAAGTCTTGTTTTAAATTTATTTACGTTGGGTTCATCTGTATGATTTACTACGTTATTAG